AGGGTTTTTCCTTGCCTTCATCCCTGTCTACATTTCCTCTTCCTGTCTTCTAGCTTATCTCCTCCTCAGCTCTCTCAAGCTCCTGAAGTAGTGTTTCTTCTGGCAGCCCAAGAAACACGGCAGCAGGCTAGTCGACGGAACAAAGGAGAGCGACAACGCACTACACAGTGTTAGTGTCAACTCACACGCTGTGGACAGAGATGGTTCAGTGTGTATGACGACGTTCTCATATTCTTTCCTTCTCATTTTGCATTTAGTGACTTTCCCTTTGAGATGCATAACAGAACGACAGGAATGTGTAACTCTAAAACTGTGGTTGATATTCGAAGCAGGGCATGCGAGCACGATTCCTGATCCTAGCAGTAGATGCTGGTGGGCGTAGCTCAGATACTCGGATTATATCACTGTTCAGATATAATGTACCCACCATGTGTCCTTATATCTAAGCATACAGGTATAGTTTATAGCAACTTGACTTCAAGGTTCAGTTCAAAGAGGTCCACAGACAGACGCTACGGTCGCGAAAGTCCTCAACCCACCGAGAGGCTCGGTTCTTTTTTCAATTGGGACGCTTACGAGATCTAGAGCGGGGCAACAACTGATTTCTGGGTCGGAGGTTTTGACACTACAATGTTGAGACAACCACAAACTTCAGCAAACACTAGAGCCCCCCCAGGGCACAGCCATCAAACAGATTGTTGGACCCCATTTCTACACACTGTGGTTCAAGACAACCGTCTCCCACCCAGAAACCCGACTTTTAAAAGTCGCTGTTTACTAATCTGCAACTTGTAACGTTGTCCGGCTTTTCTCACGTCCCGACGGGAAGCAATCCCTATGGGCCGCCACGTCATGTTACACCACTTACAGACTCCTCAAGCAATCTCTCCTGGCTGTCCTGTCTTGTACTTTATCTTCTAAAGATCTGACGGCAATTTTCCTTTATTGTATGAATTTCTTTATGTAGCGTTCTACACAAACTCACAACAACTACCTCCGAGCTCCACGTCAGTGTATATCTCAGCGAAGTGTTGATGTCTCAGACTGGATGTGGTTACTCAGTACCGGGCAAGAGGGCGAAGGATAGACCGATCTAGAGGGAGTGGGTGTCGAACCAAAAGAGGCAACGGCCATGGAGACAGACTGAGATGAAGCTGTGCCAGACCGAGTGTCAGTGTGACCGGCATCCTGCCCCATCCTCTGGACCGACGTCAGATAAGCTTGATTCAGTTACCGAGGGAGACTGTGACGTCTTGTCGTCTCACGAGCCGTATGCATCAAGCACTCTGGCTAGCTGTGCTTTCTCATCGATCAGTGACTGGCCAGGTGTCTCTTCGGCTATGGCTACAGCAGAAGTCAACAACTGTATACGTATGTGTATCAGCAGCTGTGCTGTACTTTGACAGTATTTGTCAACTATGACCCTTGGCCGCCTAATGTGTAGCTTTTTGAATTAAAAGCACAAATGTGACAAACCGCCTCGGTGCACTTGCGCATCCGCAGTGTGTGCGTCTTCCGGCACTGTTTGTACAGTCTGAACATAGATATCGGTGTGCCTTGCGTCATGCAAATGAAGACCATTCGAACTGGAATTGCTGATCGCGAATGTAAAGACAGGCCATGTGAAGTTGTGTTGTGTAAGGTCATACCTGAGTCCTGGCTTTGTAAAACAAACAGTGAGTTAGGTTTGTATTCTGGGCTTCATCAATATTGCACTGCCCCCAGCTGATCAACCAGCACCTGAATCATCAGTGTGTTGACTGTGTCCGATTCCGTTTGAGGCAGTGTGATTCACAAGCGTCAGGAGTGCAGTTACTCGTCTCGTTCCGACGTAACCACAAATATAATTCTTTATATCACAATAATTGCAGTGCATTTTCAGTGAAGAAGCATGTCTAAGTTCGGAGCCACCTAGTTGTTTCAATGCAGGAATTTTTTTAATTATCGGTCGGGCACTGAACATACCGTAATGTTCTACGTGATCCTAAAATACGTGCAATACACGCACGAAATATTCAACTGCTCGCGCTCGCTCGCCAAACAATGCGTTGCATTACTCACAGACACACAATTCTCGGTGCTCAATAAAGTGCAGACATTATGGTATATCCTGAGTTGTTCACCTGCTTGTATGTACATATAATGCGTTTCACAGCACAGCATGCAAGCACATTCACTTGGTGTGCCTAATCGCCATGACAACGCTCCAGAACAGACCAAACACTGATGTCGCATACAGACTCAGATGCTCATGGCACTAGGGTTGTGAATCCTGGTCAGTGTCGTCGGGAGAGCACACCCAGTGCTTTCAAACATGTTTTTCGGACTTTGCAAACTGGATCATATATATACGCATTACAGAAACTTGCTCACCAAAAATGGGTCGCATTCTATCTGTTTCTCAAACAATAAGTGATACGGTACAGTAGCTGTGATATACCTTCATCCTCTCAGAATCACATTCAACATTAATTACAGTATGTGTGGCAGCGTCAGATAGAATAATTCGGCCCGTTGTGATGACTAGGTTGGCTCGCTCCCACTCGCCAATAATTTTATGTATCGAAACTCCCTATACCCAGTACAAACACTCAAGGGAAACTATTACATGACAGTCATATGTGCAACAAGCTCCTGCAACAACTAACCTTACTGTCCAGGGCAGCAATATAGTGAAGGCTGTGGTACTTGCTGTACGAAAGACAACGAAAAAAGAGAGGCTACATATTATACATGGGTGCCCAGATAGCACTTTGCAGGAACGATGGTTATTAGGTGTGGTCGGACCTCGCATGAATGTAAGCTTTCACTCTTTTGCCCAAATCCATGGCTATGCCCACTTTGTATTTCAACGGTTCTCTGTCTAGTCAAATGTCATCCGTAATTCCTAGAAGAGGACCTACATATATGACATGCTATAAGGACAGACACACAAGAAGCTTTACCTACTATTTAGGACAGACAAATGAATCTTGACCAATAGGACACGCTATCAGGACACATGAAAGTTGACCTATATGACACCCTATCAGGACTGACCTGTAAACTCTGACACTATAGATAGGGAGCAGAATGGCAGAGATGGGAAGCTTCTCAGTGAGCCCCTGTCATTAGAGCTCATTGCTCTCTGTATCAGCTGCTGCACTGGGCCCGGCATACCCTCCATCCTGTATACAAGCATAGAGCAATACATCATCATACAAATGCAATTGGCACTGCGTTGAATCCTCTCGTTACAAACATGCATGACGACCCGAACCATGACGTGAAATTTCGCACAAAGAAGAAAGTCTACAATAATTATACTGAAGATGTACCGGTACCGAATCCTGCAAATAGTCCAGAGGCCTCAGATGGACGGAAAGTTCTCAAGCACATGTGTCAAAACTATCGACAGTATGCCGATGCACTAAACCACAAATCGAGCTCGAGTTTCAAAAGGAACTTGAAACAAATAATCGGCAGGATCCCGAAAAGGCGAAATCACTCCCTCACCTGGGACTCCTTCTTTAACACGGTTTATTGCATGCGAAGCTTCATGGAGACGATTGGAGAGTGCTTGGAGGAAACTGACAAGTTTGCTATTGCTGACTGTGCTCGTGACGGTGCAAAAAGGCTGAAAGAAATAGCCGAGGGAGCTAATCAAGCTTACAAATTCCTGCAACAAGTAGCTATATAACTGACTGGGTACATACACAACATACATAATTGCCGAGTACTATTATAATTGCTGGATTCCTAAGCTACTCTGTATGTACAAATACTCTGTATGTATATATGAATGATTTTGCGCGTGGGCATTCAGGTACTCGGAGAACATTATTATTGAGGCGCGAGAGACAATGTTTAGTAGCCCTGTGCACGTAAAGGAGAGGAAAGAGTGTGAGTACGTGTGGTTAGTCTGACTACACTAGCTACCTGATCATGTACATTGGCGCGAGAAATTAGCGCGCACCACTCTAAGTGATTCTCCACTAAGCGCATGCAATATGACGAAATTCAATTGGCGCTCACATGATTCGCGTACACCACCGCCGCGACGACGCAACTCAGATATGCGAGCGCTTTCTGGTGCGCGCGAGAAGGGAGAAGAAAGAGTTGGGATTTACTGAAAATTGTCCACATCTTGAATCTATGGAAAGCTGATAAAGCGCTGTAGAGACTGAACGTCCCCGGTTGAGCGTAAAACAAGCGCGCGCGCATAATATGCATGCCGTTTGGACCACAAGATTGATTGTGAGTGCAGTTGCACAGATTTGTCGTGCGGGATCGTGTCAGTTTTCGTTGTTTCAGGTGAGCCTGTAAACTGCAAAATAGAGTTCAGGATCCCTAGTGTGTATCACTGGTAAGTCAGCTTTATCACTAGGCAAGTCCGTACTCCATTCTCCTTTTGGTTACAGCATCCTTAGCAGCTGGAAAGAGTAGCTAGCTACCTACCTATTAGTTCATTCTCTAAAATATTTACACACACACACGTACACACATAATTTGCGCACGCGCACGGCGTTGCGCAATAATTGATCACGCCCCTTTGTTTTGACGGCGAGCAAGTATAGTTGCGGAGTCAAAGCTGAGGCTAGCGTGAGAAAGGCAACTTACAACAGTGTCTGACTGCCACTCTATAGAAGGGACAGACACTTATAGAGACAGCTTGCCTGTATATCAGACCTAAATTATCTTGTAGACTAAGCATGATTATGTCAGCTTCCTTATTTTCACTCGACCGCCTAGGCATCGCAGTGGATGTGTAATAAATAATCTCTGTCTCCCAACCATATGTCTAGAGAAGTGTTGAACTTCTCCGTAAATGATTGTTAGCTGTGTGGATGTGGTTTTTTTTAAGGACCTTAATTATTACTGAGCCTTATTAGGGTATAGTGTGCATACCAAAATTCCAAAATTCCAAAAGGGGATAACAAGACAATGAATAATGTTTAGCTCTCCACATGGGGAAAGTGTAAACATTGAAAGTGTCTGATTATGTGCCTCTTGTCGTATATACTGCAGTTATAAGATGTCTGGGGATCTGAGTGAGCCTCACAGAGTCCCTGGTTGTGAACTAGACCAATTTGAAGATGACTCCCTTATCCAGGTACCCATGCATGCCTTACATAGATAGCTACCGAGATTTTGTCCACCCCCAAATCACCCTTCAGTCGACTTTGCCCAAGACCGAACTGAAGAATGGGAAGATCATTTGTGATGGACCAACTCAACTGCCACTTTCACAGCAGGTATGGCTCTTACAAGCATTGACTTTATTGCTCTGGTTTCAAATTTCTTTCAGATGAAGTCTGGTGAAGAAAATGTCAACTTCCTTAAAGACAAACCAAGCAGCTACATCTGCACGAAATGGAGAAGACAAGTTTATGGTGTCAGATTTAGATTTCATTCAGCCACCACCTGAAGTATGTGAATAACTACTCATGTTTTCGTTTTCTTTGTTATAATGATTGTTCTTAGTGGTAAAAAGTGTGTAATGGGGCAAAAGATCTTTCCAGCGTTTAAGTTGTTGTCAAATAGTACTGTCTAAAGTGAAACATAGCTAAATAACTTTAACACAAATAGTAACTCTACCGTAATGTATCACGCGCTTGTTTAGCTAAGGCTATTGTCCCATTACATGCAGGAAGAAGATCGTTCCTGCAGTAGCGGGTCTAGTACTGTCTCAGAGGACATGAGTTTCTCAGATTCGGGTGACTCGGTCGAGGTGCCAGAGTTTATGGATGCCACTGAGCACAAGAGTGAAAAGCTGTCAGCTGCTCTGAATGAAGTCGTGACAGGCGTTCAGCTGCACACTCTCTATACTCCAGAAATTGTACGTAAACTAGTAGAGGAATGCATGGAATTTTTGGCGAGTGAAGCAGGCAGTTCAATTTTCCGAGTGTTTTCGTGTGTATTTAGAATCATGTAGAACATTACGGTGCGCATGCAGTGCGGGTATACGGGTCACAACATTAAATTCCTGCATTCAGCCGACTAAAATAATATTTTTGCTGACACGCAATAATAAAATTTGTGCAGAATTGAATATTTTTTCATGATTCATTAACAACATTTAGTAAGAGGTTTGTTGAAGCCTCGTGTATAATCTCCCACATGTTCGTGGGATTAACCCTTAGCAAGCCATGGGAATATATTATGCACAGAGCCTCCATAAGTCCATAAGAATTTATATATAATACTAGGTGATATGTTATACATCAATTTCTGCTTATTTAAGGAGATACCCATGGCATCCAAAGGGTTATTAAGAATCAATCAGATATTTTTCGTATTGGCTTGTTAACACTACCTCCTAGTGTTGCAACGTATGATTTTGTTAACCCACAGAGTTGTGGTGAGAATATAGCCATTCATCAGGCTTGTCCTGAACAGCAGCAGCAGGTTCCTAACTCCAGTGCCGGTTGCGTGCCACAACTGGTGACTCCCATCAAATGGCCCCTAGCATATTCCCTCCCTGACCAACACAATCATCATCAGCTACAGAAGGTGCTTTGCATGCTTTAGTATTCCTAACAGTTGTCTTTTTTCTGCAAAGAACCACAATTATTAGCAGTGTGCTTATAACTATATAGAACAACTGTGTGTATTTTGTTTTATGGAAATTTGCATGCTTCTAGACTCCAGAGGAAGACGAATATGCAACAATTTTGCAAACACTTTCTGTTGATGAGGGAAACCCTGCGAAGGTAGCTGTATAATTATACATCTGTCCTGATATTTTTACTTCACATTTTCTGTTGGTATTATGCAGGACATCATGAGGATAGATTCTTTACCAGTTCCTCAACAGGTATTAGTCCTTATCGCTATGTACATGCAGTTGCAATGATTCGTTCATGCTCCATTCAGGGGGATTCAAGACAAGGAAATCTCGTTATTGGACTTTCTCAATTGCCGACAAATTTGGTTAGTTTTTCAGTAGTTCTTCTCAGAGTTGCCTCAGAACAGTGTGAAAGTTATAGGAAGATATGAATGATGTACAAGGGTATGAATAAACCTGGATGGGAGCTAGACAACAGATGCCCAGCATTGAGAACTGGGGCGGTGTTTAAGATACCCGTGTTTCTTCTTCTCTCTAATAGGAGCCAGCTGTAGTATCGCCGGACATCATTTTGGAGCCAAACCACTTCCTTGAAAAGGGTGTAAGCATCATGGGAAAATCCCTGAATCCCATCGTGACATCTCTCCATAACGATCCCAGAAGTAAAGTAAAATTGCACGTTCGTACGAAGACAGGGAAGCAAAAGACCCAAAAAGGCTGCCACATGTACAGAACGAGGGACATTCCAGTTTCCAATCTTTCAAACAACCACAAGTACCCATGCTCCTGATTATGCGTCCTTTCTGCATATTCATGGCAGCTCAAACGACCTGAAGACACCAATTGATGTAATTCTAGGCATGATCCCGCGACGCCTCAACCCCTCCCTAACTACAGCAGCTCTTGGCACCACCATCTACTACATGGAAAGCTTTCTCGAGATCTTTGACAGGGGCTTGGAGTCTGCTGGTAAACATGCTCTTGCGGTACATGTGAAAGAGGGCATAAATGAACTGTATGTACGGAACACTGCCAATCAGGCACGTCGACTCTCACTCGAGTTGGCCACGTAAACTAACTATTTTATATTTCTCGGGATCGTTCAGTTTGTGTACATTGTTTTAGAGATTTCTATACTGTAGACTGTAGCTAAAAGGGCTGTTTGTAAAAAAGGTTTTTCCCATCACGGGTTTTCCCTTGGTCCTCTGATTGAGCCGTCAGGACCTAAATGTTGTCTTACTACAATGCTCCAGCCCTACCGTGTTTTATTTTTGTACTTCATCCGGGTGCTTGTCATAGCATAGCAGTGTTACTTTAGAGGTATGTATATGTGGCATTCAAGGTGTTGAGTATTGTCAGCACCACACGACAACGTGCTCGAGAAATTAGCGCGCACGTGTTCGCGATCTGGTTTCGAATTAGCGCGCAGGGATTCGCGCATGCGATCCGGTTATAACCGCAACTCGCGCGCAAGCGCGAGATGTGATTATCGGTGGAAAGCGCTAAAGACGTTCCCGGTGTATATAGCGTAAACATCTTGTTGTTTCAGGTGGGCCTGTATTATTTTAACTGCAAAATCCTTCATCACCTAGTGTGTACCACTGAAAAAAGCTGGTAAGTCAGCTTTATCACTAGTTATTCTCCATTCTTACAGCATCCTTAGCAGCTGGAGAGGGTAGCTAGCTACCTATTAGTTCATAGTTATCTAGCATCCAGCAATGAAGATTCCTCCATATGAACAGCATGTTAAAGCACATTGGAGTCTCCTTCCAATGTGTGTTTCTGCAGTTAGGCAGGTATTATTATTTTTAGAGCCTTCTCTTACCACTCACCTTTATTCTTCGTGAATAAAGACAACAATATCCAGAAAGTGTACCTAAAGCTCAGTGCTTGGTGTATATTTTGTGCTGATTAGTCTGTGTGAAGTCAACAGAGTTGTTGACACACATATATAGCTGGTGGCCTAGGTATATACATAAGCAATTAAATAAGTTTTGTCATGGTCCTAAAGTAAGCAATTAAGGTTGAAAAAAAACAACCTAATAATGAGATGTACACAACTTCAGCTATGACTACTGCGTATCTGTCTTCCCCCTTCTCTCCTTTAGAATTTAGGAAGAGCCTACATGAGTGAAAATGCTCAGAAGCATGCATTTTTTCTTTCGCCCCCTTCTTCTCTTCATGCCATGGCTATTTACTACTGCTTATATCCAGCATTTAGCCACTATCACGATAGATTCCAGCGCAGCACCAGACTCTAACACCAGTCTCCAGCACCACACGTGTGGTCTGGGGACCATGGAACTGGTCTCAGACACTATCCTCTAGCTCTCAGGAGGTGTCCACTACCTCGAGGAGGGTCCCTTCTGTGTCCTCCAGAATCTCCAGAATATCACAATTCAGGGCCGGCAGACCCAGCCCAGGACTGTCATCTACTGTCAGAGTGACACTGAGTTGAGACGAGGCATTGCCTTCTTCAACATCTCCAGCCTTCGTCTCTCCCACCTCCAAATTATCAATTGTGGTAGGGAGGTACCCAGTGGATTACCTGGTCACGTTAACAGTACCTTTGCATATCTTGGTCCTGCAGAAAGCAGTAGTGACTCAACTAACATAGCAGTTGAGAATGTTAGCATTGACAGGTGCTTTGGGTTTGGTATGCTGTTCATTAACCCACTGTGGCACACTGCGATCCAAAACTTATCAGTATCTGGAACCAACAGCCAGAGTCTCAGTGGATGTACACACCTTTTTGAGAGGAGTGACATGCTGTGCTCAGGTAGTGGTGTTGTATTCATCTTTAGTGATACAGACATTACAGAGCGGATGGATAAAAGAGGCATGCAGTCTCTCTCTCTCCATAGTGCTGCTCATTCTTAACACACAAACTTATACCATTCTTATTCAGCAAACACATTTTCTTTTGGGTTTGCCACACAGCGTATTTCTTTGACTGGGGGATGTTCTATAGCTGTCTATATTGGCCAGAGGGGCTTCTTTGTTGACACAAAAGTCACCAATACTGTGATTCTCACAAGCACAGGAAACCTAGCTAATTTTGTTGTGATGTACTATAATACAATTCGCATGAGCAAAACTCGGCTAATAGGATTAGTATTCAGTGACAATACATGTCAAGGTTTATGGGGTAGGGTTGCAGGTCTGGCTATCATAGAGTTCTGTTTACAGACTCCCTAATTCCTATACACAATTACACGAAGATTATGAGAATATTATGGTGGAGATAGTTAGCTCTGCTTTTAGTCGCAATCAGCAGCCTTTGGTGGTGCCATCTTCATTATATAACATCACAAAACATATCGTTATTGGAGTAGTGGTCAGATACAACTTTGACAGACAATGTTGCTTGTAGGCCCAGCTTTATACATCATTTCAGTCTGAGTCCTTTATTGTTTCGCCAAGAAGTACATGTATTCTCAGGACAGTGTGGGCCTCAGGAAATACCTTTTCCGAAGATATACCTCGGAAGATCTCCTGAGATGGTGGTGTATTACTATTGGACCCATAACCAATGTCACAGTTGTAGGGACCCAGGGAAGGGCTGCCACTTTTACAATAACGGCATGAGTGTGTGTTTTGCCAGTGGCAACAAATTTAGCCCTCAGTGGTAGAATCACTTTTGAGGATATTGTGGTTTCAGAGGTGTGCTCTTAACTTGATTGACCACTCTATTCTTTTTATTGACAATGGTTCTACTATCAGATTACAAGGAACACAGCTTCTCGAGAAGGAGGTGCCATATACATAAATACTGGATCAGCTGGTCACTGCTATATGTGCAATACATTCTTAATTTGAAATAGGCACAATTTGTCACAAGGATTATTTCCCATTACCCCTATACTATTTTCAAACAACAGTGCTATGATATCAGTGAATTCAATTTATGGAAATCCACTGTTTTATGTCAGTTAATACACATCCCGTCAATAGAGTATATATTTAATTCAAAAAGTCACGTACGTCTTGATGAATAAGGTGGTTATTGTCAGACCTGTTCACATGAAAAGATTCTAAACGTGCAAACCCTCGGCGAACTGCGCATAGTGCGGAGGTACCACTATTAGTATTTCGATGAGGCTGGGCTATCTTTACGAACTCGTGGTATCCCGCAGTCGCTTGGCCGCGGAGAGTCTGCACGCGGGCTCGCTACAGTAGTAAATAGCATGCGGGAGTCGATACATGCCATTCGTTGTGACTTGTTGTTGCCTATCAAGAAACACAATCGAGACGGACTCTTTCGGGGTACGCCCTGTGCTGATATTACATTTGGGGCTTGTGTCCAAGTAGGGTTGGTTTTCCAACACACAGGCCATAACTTTATGGTAGCGGAACTGCAATGTTCATCAGCTAAGTACAGCGACGAACTTGTACCAGAGTCGACTACCGTCATAGAACAACGGAGTTTGGTGCAGAAGCGTCAGGAAGTCCCTCCTACAACCCGGGAGTTGATCCACCTCTTCCACCTGGGATAATATTAAAACACATTTTGTGCAGCAACGGTCACTACTCCACACCGTCTGGTCGAAGTTTGCTGTCAAATATTCCAAACCCTAATCCACAAGAGAAATGCAAGCAATTGCTAACTGTAAACATAAAACAAAACGCTCGTTAAATGACAAGTATACACAACTTTAAACAAAGGGAGTCTCTCCTTATTGGAACTACCACAGTCACAAATGATTGCTCGTCGCTTTATTATGTTATGTTGCAATTTATCTTCACCAACAGGAAGTGTGAATACCCTCAAGCGAAAACCCTTTGATACAAAGCTCGATCTGATTGGCGACTGTTTTTCGAAGATGGCCGACAGTGCGAGATAGGTCCAGTGGTGAGTTACTGGCGAGCCACATTTACACGCTATTATATCCGAATTAAAGCTTGAATTGAATGGACAACAATGAAAGTGTACAAGTCGCAAAATTCTGTCAATATGAGAGTATACCGTCCGCCACACCTTCAAAAAGACGATCGCTGGTGGTGGCAGAGGGGAAAGGTTTATTAACCCTCAGCACTCCTGTCGATCTAGGTTCCTAGTAGTTTGTCGTGTGTGTCCGTATTCTTCATGTAAAAAAATCATTCATTAACCCAACACCTCGTCGCGCATGCGCAGCGAGTGTTAACAGATATTTGGGTCTGTCCGTCCTTGTGTCTGTGCGTGTTTTACCTCTACATCTCATCGCAATCCACCTCTCGGTCGAAAGTCTGTTCGTCACAGAACGATACCATCTACCCAACGGGCGACGAAGTCGCGAAACAATGCTGGAGTTTTCGCCTGAAGAATGCTCCGATTTGCTAGAGCTAGAGCGCGGTTCATCATATGCAAATACACAACTGGCATTTACTCAGTCAGATCCGACCCGCGTGCTCTGCGTACCTCGGAGGAGCACCAGAAGATGCAGCAACGCAGGGCGGTATCGCCTCTCGCATGCTATCCTAGTCGCTTGTAGTGAGGCCGCGTCAGACTCCTGCGTAAGAGCTGGCAATAGATCACAGTTAACACTAAAGCTCAACCGAAGCTAAAACTAAAGCCCGCCCATCGCTTATCTATACACATGCAGATGCGTAAGTACTCCCGCGTGCGCGTCACAATGCGCCGAGGGTTCACTTCATGCTTTTCATTCGTTCAGTGGGATGCTTCATTCTTCAGTCATTCATTCCTTCAAGTGATAACTTCACGTTCTCCAGTCATAAATCGCGTCCAAAACGGGTTTACATTACCCAGCGGCCGACGTAGGTCCCAGATAATATGGGTGGCATGTTTCTCTGACACTGCTTTATTTGCAGAGCGAGAGGCGCGTTTTCCTGTTTCGTACAGAACGGCAGGGCGGCCATTTTTAACAACGACGCATGTTTGTACCCACCAAACATGGCACGCGACTCCGAGGCGGCATTCGGCCAAAGCAGCGCCGCGTGATTGGACCAAAACGTGGCCAGCATCCATTTTGTTTTCCCCTCAGTTCTCGTGTGACACTGACCTAGACTGAGAAGACAGGGG